AATCTCCTATGTAAAAAGGTTCATATCACATGGGTTCACTAATGAATTTCACCAGAATTTCAAAGAACTAAGATCAATCTTTCCCAATTCCACAAAATAGAAAAGGAAGGAACCTTAGCGAAATCTTTTATGAAGTTAGTATTATCATCCTAGTATTTAAAATGATTTTTAAAAAACTATTACACAATTCCCATCAAAATCCCAGCACAATTCTTCACAGAGCTGGAAAGAACAATGCTCATCTTCATGTAGAAAAACAAAAGAAACTTCTAGAGGCATCACCATTCCTTATTTCAAGCTCTACTAGAAAGCTATACTAATGAAAACAGCTTAGTATTGGCATGGAAACAGACAGGTGGATCAATGGAAGGGAATTGAAGACCTTGACATTAATCCACACACCTATTAATACCTGGGATTTTTTTTATTAACGAAGAAGTCAAAGTTGTACAATAGAAAAAAGAAAGCATCTTCAACAAATGGTGATGGCATAACTGGATACCAACATGTAGAAGAATGCAAATAGATCCATATCTATTGCCATGAACAAAATTCAAGTCCAAGTGGATCAAAGACCTCAACATAAATCCAGTTATACTGAACTTGATAGAAGAGAAAGTGGGAATTAACCTTGGACACATTGGCACAGGAGACCAGTTCCCAAATATAACACCAATAGCACAGACACTAAGATCAACAATTAATAAATGGGACCTCTTGAAATTGAGAAGCTTTTGTCAGGGAAAGAAGATGGTAAATAAAATAAAACAGAAACCTACAAAATTGGAAAAGATTTTCACCAGATCCACATCTTACAGAAGACTAATGTTCAAAATGTATAAAGAACTCAGGATACTAGATATCAAAATACCAAATAATCCAGTTGAAAAATGGGATACAGGTCTAAACAGAGAGTTCTCAACAGAAGAATCTCAAATGACTCAAAGGCATTTAAGGACTTGCTCAACATCCTTAGTCATCAGGGAAATGCAACTCAAAATGACTCTGTGGTACCATCTTACATCTGTCAGAATGGCTAAGATCAAAAACAGTGATGACAGCTTATGTTGGAGAGGATGTGGAGTAAGGGGAACACTGCTCCCCTGATGGTAGGAGAGCAAGCTTGTACAGCCACTTTGAAAATCAGCATGGTGGTTTCTCAAAAAACTGAACATCAATCTACCTCAAGACCTAGCAATACCATTCTTGGGTGCATGCACAAAGGCTACACTATCATACCACAAGAACACTTACTCAACTATGTTCATAGCAACATTATGCATAATAGCCAGAACCTGGAAATAACCTAGATGCCCCTCAACCAAAGAATGAATAAAGAAAATGTGGTACGATTATATGATAGAGTATTACTCAGCAGCAAAAAAAAAAAAAATGACATCTTGAAAGTTGCAGGCAAATGTATAGAACTAGAAAAAGAAATCATCCTGAGGGAGGTAACTCAGACCCAGGAAGACAAACATGGGTATTAAAAGTACATCAAACCAGGCTGTAATCCACAGTCCCAGAGAAGCTGGGTAACAAGGAGGACCCTAAGAGAGACACACATGGATCACGCTAGGAAGAGGAAATAGATACATTCTCCTGGGTAAGCTGGGTGTGGGAGGGGGAGAAGAAAGGAGGGGTGAGAACATGAGGGTTTGAGATGGCTGAGTTGGGGGAGGGAAGGAAAGGGAGAGCAATGAAAGAGATATCTTGATAGAGGGAGCCATCATGGGTGCCAGGTAAATTCCCGGGAATCCACAAGGATGATCCCAGCTAAGACTCCTAGCAATAGTGGAGACGGTGCCTGAACCAGCCTTCTCCTGTAATCAGATTGATGTCTACCCTAACTGTCATCATAGAACCCTCATCCAGTAACTGATGGAAGCAGATGCAGAGGCAGAGATTCACAGCCAAGCACTGGGGCCAAGCTCCTGGAGTTCGGTTGAAGGGAGGGAGGAGGGATTATATGAGCAAGAGTGGGGGGCGGTCAATATCATGATGGGGAAACACACAAAGATAGCAGACCCGAGCTAGTGGGAGCTCATGGACTCAGGACTGACAGCTGGCGAGCCTGCATGGAACTAATCTAGGTCCTCTGAATGTGGGTGACAGTTGGGTGGCTTAGTCTGTTTGTGGGACCCCTGGCAGTGGGACTAGGATTTATCCTTGGTGCATGAGTTGGCTTTTTTGGGGCCCATTCCCTATGGTGGGATGCCTTGCTCAGCCCTGATGCAGGAGAGAGGGGGTTTTGTCCTGCCTCAACTTAATATGCCAGACTTAGTTGACTCCCTATGGGAGGCCTTACCCTATCTGGAATGGATGAGGGTTAGAGGAAGAAGAGGAGGGGAGGACGGGAAAAGGGGAGGGAGAGGGAACTCTGATTGATATGTAAAATGAATAAAAATTTTAAAATAAAAAATTAATTAAAAAATACTATACAAATGAAAATTACAAGTTAATTTTCATGATGAACACAGACACAAAAATTCTCAAAAAACAATTCCTGATAATCAAATTTCAGAATTGTTAAGAGAAGCTTTTTCTTTGCTAGCCGCTTTGGTTTATCCCCCGCCAGCCGCCTGGGCTCTGCCACATTGTAGTCCCCAAATAAACACACAGGATGCTGTATTAATTATGAAGCTGTTGGCCTTCCTTGTTTCTTACTGGCTAGCTCTGACTTAAGTAATTACCCCATAATTGTTAATCTAAGTATGTCTCTTACCGGAGAGGTTTCCGGGCTTCCTACCCCAATGGCGTTACATCTCGACTCTATTGTGTTTCTCCTTCCCAGAGTTCTCCTGGACTCCTAATCCCTCCTATCTTGGTTCCCTATAGGCTCAACAGTACTTTATCGACATAAGACTTCCCCAACACAGAATACATCAAAAAGATTATTCACTATGATGTTGATCATTCACCATCAAGTTAAGTATGTTCTAAGGTTGCAGGGATAATTCAAAGTAGATAAATCAGTGTTACAAGGACTCAAGTATCAAAATCACATGGTTATTCTAGTGGATACAGAAAAGGCTTAGATAAAATTCAACATTTTAAAATTTAACTTTCAAGTTAAAAGTCCTAAAGACATGAGTCTTTAATCCCAGCTCTTAGAGGCAGAGGAAGGCAGATCTCTAAGGATCTCTGAGTTCAAGGCTAACCTGGTTTACAAAGCAAGTTCCAGAACAGCCAGGGCTATGGAGAGAAACCCTGTCTCAAAGAACAAAAAAAATCTAGAGAAATTCAGGATAGAGGGAGCATGCCTCAACATGCTATATGTGACAACTGACACCCAATATTCTATCATGAGAAAAAAAACTTTAGGCATTTTCCCTAAAATTAGGACCAAGATAAGGGTTCCTGCTTTCTCTGCTCTTATCCATGAGATTTGGGAAGACCAATGAGACAAAAAAAGCAGATAAAGAAATAGAAAAAGAAAAGCAATCTTAAGTATCCATCTGTGGGCAGATGTCAACTTATAGGTTTAGGGCAGTCCAGTCAAAAGTCCAGTGACATTCTTCATTTAAATGGGAAGAAAAACCAACCTTAAAATCCATACGGAAGCACAAAAGATCTCAGATAGCCAAGGTAATTCTGGGTTAAAAAAAAAACAGCTCTAGAAACATCTTCATACCTGATTTTAAGTTATACTACAAACAAACGCCTTGTAATAAAAACATCACGATACTGGCACAAAAGAAGGCACATAGACCTATGAAACAGAATGGAGGACCCAGATACAAGGCTACACCACTGTTTGTCGGGGAAAAGGCAGCATCTCCCACCAGCGCTGCTGGGAAAACTGGATATCTACTTGTAGAACAATAAAATTAGACCCTTACCTCTCACCCTCCATCAAACTCAACTTCAAATGGGCTAAGGACTTGATCGTGAGTCCTGAGACTGCCAGATGAAAAACTGAAGAGCACACTTTAGGCATACAAAGGAATTTTCTGAGCAAGACTTCATCATTCAGGGGGGGAAATCGTTGAGTGAGAACTCATGAAATCAAAGTCTTTTGTTCTGCAAGGAAAACTGTCGAGTGAAGAAACAATCATAGGAAAGGAACAGATCTTTGCGATTCATATATCTGACGAATAATTTTCATCTGGGATGTACAACAGCTCAACAATTAAACATCAAGATAACAAACAATCCAATAAATAAATGAATGAGTTGTAGGAGCAAATCTATTTCTCAGAAGGAGAAATGTAAGTGCCAATAAAATTTTTTGACATGTTCAGCATCAGAAAATGCAGATTAAAACTGCTTTGTGGTGAGGAAGTTGAAGAAAACCACATTGTGATTCCCCTCCACCTTCCACTTCTCAAGTGTCCTTAGAGGTCGGGAGAAGGCCTTGGATCCTATGTGGGTACCCGGGTCCTCTATGAGAGCAAGAAGTGCTCTTACCCCGTTTCTCAAGCCCTGAAAGATTCTTTTGTTAAAAGAAATTACTCTTGATAAGAGAGCAGTATGTTCATCCCCAACTGGTTAGAGCACATTACATCACAGCAACACACCAGCACACAACAGACATTTCCAAACATTTTCTTCTAGATGACCTCCATGGTAGAGCCTTTAGAAGTCATCTTGCTCTCACGAGAGATACAAGGCCAACTTAAGACACCGTTCAACGTCAATTCCACAGCTCCATTCCTTTCAATTTTTATTTGGTGATGTATTTAAAAACCACAGGCATTTTCTCTATTCATGCTCATTTTTCTGTCCTACATAGACTGCAATTAAATTCTGACTTTCCCAAATATACCCTGCAGGCCTAGTGAACATCTATCTAGCCATTTTCTTGATGGAGAAACCCATAAGCAATAAATACGTATGCTAATTCACTAATTTATGCATTCATAGACTCATAAAGCATTCCTGAACACCTATTCTGTGTCAGGCTGTATGTTAGGACTTGAGAGTGGATGAGACAGAGCCCCTGCTGTGTAATGTCCAAGTTCAGCTCCCTTGAGGAGACAAGCGAATACATAACTCACCTCAATTCCATAGGAGAGCTGTAGCATGAGTCTATGTAGCACAGACAGAGAGGACGGGTGATGCATGTTTCCTGGGGGGACGGCGGATATGGTGGCCAGCTTCAGAGAGAAGGTGGTGCTTCAACTGTACTGGAAGAATGATCAAAGCCCCGGCTTTGAGTGTAGACAGGTCTTCTAGGCAAAGGGACCCTGTAGAAAGGTTAGGAACATGGTGATGCTTCAGATCATGCCTTCCAGTGTGCCAAGAGTCTATCACCCATGCGTGGGCAGAGCTGTTAGATATTAGCCTGGCAAGGGACGCTGGACTCAGAACACAAAAGACCTTAAACATTCTTCTACAAAGTATTCTTTTGTCCAGTAAGCCACGGAACTATGGGAATTTTTCGTTGCAAATTGACCTAGCTGCAGGAATGAAAGGATCTGAGAAGAGTGGCCATTGCTAAAGATAGGAAACCCAGTTAGACATGTCCAAAGACTCAGAGCAGAGCCCCAGAGATGGACATGGATGCCAAAGACGTTTGGGAGGTAAGAACAGACAGTATTTGTTAGCAGACTGGGAATGTACCTCCTTCCTTGTGTTCTCACACATATTTTAGACGCATACATGATCAATAAGCTTCCCAACACGTTGAGTGAAGACACACAATGAAGTGAAATTAGTAACGATGACTCCTAATCAGCAACAGTGAGGTGCTTGGCGGGGGGAGACATCCTCTCCGGACTCTGACGTTCAGGGTTCGCTTGGGATGGTACTCTGCCTCTGCTGCTGGATAGACCCTACACAAACCCCTTACCCTTGTTCCTTCTCCAGCTCCCAAGTGACATGTTGACTAGGATGATTCGTTTCTGAGGCTCCTCCAGCCCTCGACATTCTGTGAGTCAGACTCTTGGGATCAGTGGCCACCAACCCTGCCCTTCCCCAGCTGAGTCACCTCTGAGGCAGGGAGGGGATTCTTTGGGGCTGAACAGGAAACACACTCAGAGTCATTGAAGTCACACACACCCCCAAGTTCCATTCTCATGAGGCAAGAATGAGTAGGGAATGCCAGAAGTCAGGACAGATGTCAGAGGCAGCTCCACTGCAGTGATCAATCTGGCTGGTCCTGGACACCTGTGCTCACTTCCACAAGGCAAGGGCCCTGGACCAGGCCTCCTTCTTTGAAGGAAATGCCCTTCCCCAACACACACAACCAGGCATGTGGGTCTCTGGAATCCCTCTGCTTTTCCTGTTTGTATCAGTTCCCATGGCCAATGAGCCTACCGATGCTATCTATCCTAAGACTTTACTACTAGAAGGCAAAGACATCCTTACTGGCTGCCTTCCTGAGTGTGGTTGAGAATGACGACCCACAGGCAGTGGCAAGGTGTCTCCTCAGGGTCTTAGCCTGTCAAGGGCTCCTCCGCTGTCTCTTCCACTGCACGGAACTTAGTGGGAACTTAGTGAAGCCTACCATGGACAACTAAATACATCTGAGAGTTCTGGGCTTCCCACAGCAACCTCACATCGCTTGCCCACTTTAATGGTGCAGAGAATGAGGTTTGGTGATTCATCAAAGGCTGAACTAGGATGTGGTCCAGCCAGGACTCCAGCTGAGGTCTGTCTGTCTTCCAGTCCACTGTGCTCTCCCCCCAGTAGCCAGAGCTAAGCCCTAAATAATCTTCAGCATGAGTATGAACCATCTGAAAAGCCACTAAGTAGATTCGTGTCTTTTTTTTCACCCAAGAAAAGCATGGTCTAGTTTAACTTTAGGCCTAAAAAGCAAAAAGCAAGTGGGTCATGGTTCACCACCTAAGCACATTGAAGTAGACCTCTGGGTTCCTCCTGATTCTACCCAATCAAGTTAACTTATGGGATTCACAGTGAAGAAACTCCGGAAGCCAGTCTGCCTGGCTTTTCAACCTGGTATCACAATGTGGCCCCAGCCACACTGTGTCTACATGGAGATGAGAGTCACACGCACCTTGTCCTGTTGTTATGAGGGGTAAACAAGATCCTGCATGTAGAAAGCACTTACCATGGAGTCTGGCATATGGCAGGAGCTCGATAAATCCCAGCCATTATTATTACCATAATATTTCTGCACATAAATCTATCTGCAACTCTGATTGTTTTCTTAGGACAGATGCCAGCAGGTAAAATCGCTGTACCAAAGGGTGGCTCTTCATACGTAATGCTGAATTATCCCCCAGAAATTGTCAAGCAGTGTATACATCCAACCCAGAATCAGCAAGGTGAGGCGATGATGTGTCTCAACGGCCAAGGCAAGCAGCAAGCAGGCGACCGTAGAAACATTATTATTATTATTTATTTGGAGTGCGTGTGTGCATTGCGCACGCGTGGAGGGCAGGGGACGATGTGTGGCAGTTGGCTCTCTGGTTCTCTTCTTCAACCATGTGGCTCTCATGGGTGACACTAACGTCGTCAGTCCTGGCACCAAACCTTTAACCCAACAAGTGCGATGACACCAGCACTTTCTTTTCTTCCTTTTTTTATTTTAAACATTAGTCAGGGTTTCACACAGTAGCGCGCGCGTGGTCTGGAAATCCTTATACAGCGAGGAGTAGCCTTGAACTCCTGATCCTAAGCTAGGTCGAGAATTCAGAATGGGAAGTCTCTGTGTGGTGATTTGGGGTCTGATTGGAGACTCGAGGAAGAAAGCCTGCTGCAGTCTTCTACCTCCTGAATTCCGTTGGGTGGACGGATTTAAGCCCCCTACGCCTATGCTATCCTTCCACCTGTCACATGGAGACGACAGGTGAGACAGACAAACCACAGACTTCGAGCCTGTCTGACCCAGCCAACGGCCAGCAGTCTAGAGGAAAATGGTCAGTTTTCCTAAACTTGTTTCTGTTTCCTGAATGAAACGTGGGTGAAGTCTCAAAGCCCTTTAGGAGTGATTAAGTATAGTGTGGGGTGTGTGTGTGTGTGTGTGTGTGTGTGTGTGTGTGTGTGTGTGTGTGCGCGCGCGCGCGCGCGCGCGACCAGGGAGGAAGGAGAACTCCAAATGGGAAGCTGCTGCTCTCATTTGTCGCCGGGGCATGTGATCGCCACTGAGTCATTCCCCAGACATCGACTTCAGGCTTAGGCCAAGGTTTTTTAGAAGTTCTTTTGAGCCAGAACCGTGGAGTAGTCGCTCAGGAATGGGGGGGGACAGGTGGTACACTTAGTAGTCAGAGAAATGCTATGACCCACAATTGCGACTTCGGTTCTGGCTGAAAATATCACAGGGCTCCAGGAGAAAGGAATCGCTTCAGCAGGTGTGTTTGGAATCTGGCAGAGAGCTCTGGTCCTGAGCCAGGAGCCCCGAGGAGGCCTGAATGGCTTCTGTGTTGACTCCCTGGGACTGAGACCCGGGAGGGAGAGCGAGGGGAGAGCCCTGGGGTAAACAGACACCAGGCAGACAGTGGCTGATTCTTCCTTGGGCTCTCCATGGCTCTTGCACAAGTGTGACCAGCATCTGAGGCCTTCACCAACCCTTGTCCAGATCATGGATCCAAGAGGAGTTCCCAAAATAGCTCAGCCTCTGGGCCCGCCTGGGAAGGACATAAAGATTCATTTACAGGGGAAGGTGACCGCTCCAAATTTCTTCAGCAGACTAGTCTATGCTAATGCTCTACTCCCTCAAATCTGGGATTTCTATAACCCACTCCTGTCCTTGTCATTGCCAGCAGAAATGTCTGCATTATCTTAATTCCAGAATGGAAATTATTCCAATTTTGAGGCCATCGTTTTAAAGCTGTCAAGGTCAATATTTTTAACAGCCTAGAAAAAATTTTTTTACAACTGGAAAATGTCTAAGCACGTTGTGCTTGATACCTTGAGACAACTGGGGGAAATCTGGGAAGAAGTAAGTGGAGGAATGCCCTATACTACCTCCATGGCTAAGGGAGGACATTCATTTGTCCCCTCTCCAATTTGTCTGGGTAGGGTCCCAAGTCAGCACACTTGCCGTGACCATCTTTCAGTTGTCTGTCGTCTTCTATTTATAGATTAGTCACTCGTCTTTTGATCCTGACCTTATTGTTGTTAATAAAGCAATTAATTCCTAAAAAGGAAATGGCCAACGAAAAGAGAAAACAAAACAAACAAAAATAACAAAAACAAGTCATGCCTTAATAGCCTGTACGTTTTCCAAGTGCTACCCCACTTCTTCAAAGTGTTACCCCACTTCTGTTTGCAGTCATGTCATCCATTACTCTTTGAGGCCCAGATACGTCACTGGCTGCCCTAGAGATGCTGGGGTCAGCTCTCGCAAGTGGAGGGAGGAAGCTCTCAGGGAACTCCTTGCACTTGGTCAGGAAGAAGGAATGACTCCCTTTCGAGATTTACCTGTCAGCTTCCATCCAAGTGAACTCAATCATTTCTACCTGAGTAACGCTCCAGGACAGAAACCCGAGACTGAAGGAAGTACATCCATCCGCAGGAGAACAGCTCTCCTGCGGAACCACAATCAAGCTTTGTCTTTGGGGTAACAGGCCATTGCTAGCACCTGTGGAGCTTGCCAAGCAGGGAGAAGACACAACCAGGCAAGTGGACACCTCTGGACACCCCTGCCCCAGACGCCAGCCTGCGAGGTCCTCGGGGAAGAGGCTGAAAAAAATCTCTATTATGGGCCCATCTCCTAGTCGGGAGATGGCAAACACTGCATCCCTGTAACTCCGAAGCAGGATTAATTGATTGGTCTCATATGAACCTAAAAGCCGTTAAGAGCAGGGAGGATGAAAAGCAATTCAAATTGCTTTATTACGATTTCATAGTAAAGTACCAGTTTAGTCCTCAGCCCTACTGTGACGCAGCGGGTTTCCAGATATTGACTGCACTGGCATGTGCTGCTCGCGGAGAGGAAATGCCGGGGTCTGCCGAGCAGAAACATCTGCTCCGCTCTCCAGCAGGCCTGTTGCTGGAGCTGGGGAGGGGGCTCCCCTCCAGGTGGTGTCACTGCAGGCAGGAGACAGAGGAAGCACTCCCGAGGGGGGGGCTGCTGACGGTGGGTGGAGACTCCCTCCTTGTGGTTTTCGAAGACTTCATTCATGGCATGTGAGAAGGAATTATAAATGGTTTTCTAAAACGGTCTGAGGCTTCCCATGCAAAGCAGCAACACAATTATTATAGCTGGAATGATCACGACAGTGACGACCCACTTCTCAAGCTGTGGGTGGGAGGCATGGAGCGTTTTCTGTATCTTAAT